GGATGTTAACAGTAACAATGAAAACACTTTTCATGGTTTTAGGCTCAGTCAACTGTCAAGTACATGTTTTTTCTGGCGCGCTCGATAACTCAGAAATTTTTTACTCTTCTGAGGAATTCTCACTGGAAAAATTCTTTCTGCAGAGGCAAGAAGGAAGTATTTTCATAACTGGAATCAAAATAAACAAAAAAAACATGCAGCACATGGCGAATTTCGTATCAAATTTAGTGAAATAACTATGATAAACGAAAATTGCATCTTGTCTTTTCCAACTGCTATGTGTGATAAACAAGTTCTGGTAGTCAAGATGCTAGCTTTTTGGATGCAACAGTTTAATCTTGTTTAACCAATTGACTCCTTTGAGACCAAGATGTAGATAGTTTGGAAATGTAAGCGATGAGAATATCATATGCATGACGGCCGGGTATTTAATATCTATATATTTCCTCTGTCCATGTATAATCCACGTCTAGTACTCTATTAGCATTCTCAAAGGTATTAAATAAGAACAGTTTAGGGATAGATCATTTAGTAGTGCTGCCCATGGACTTTGAAATCTGCGCCTGAGTTCAATTCTATCTATTTCTAGTTTGAGGGCATTGATTTCTTTTTTCTCTACAACTCGTTGGTTAGTCCTGATTCGTTATGCCCTGTTCATCCTCCTCTTTTTCTACCCCCGCTTAGAACTCGTGAAAACCAGTTCGCCATCAAAATCGCTGAACAACAGCTCCAGTGCATCAATGCCAAACGGTGAGTCTCGTATCCTACATCCATGATTATGTACGTCCATGTCGTTGGCCTTAGCTACTACAGCTTCCATAGCTAAATATGTCAGCATTAAAACACCTTTACTCAAAGCATCCGGCATGCTAATGAGGTAATAAGGGAAACTAGGAGCTTACCAAAATTAAATATGACACAAAAGGAACCGAGAAATAGTTTCAATGTTTAAAATAATGTTTCTTATCATGACATGAGATGAATGGACAAATGAGTTCTTCCCGTTAAAAGAACCTTCATGTTCGCTAATGACCTCTAATACCTCTATACAGACAGGCTCTCCGCTGTACAGGAACTCATTGCTTTCAAGAAGCGTTCGACGTAAATTGTAGCCTACCCGTTCCAGCG